GTGTTTGTGTCGCTCTGTAGAATACCTCAGTTCTGGAGAACCATCACTGGAGGTCTGCAGTGGGTCTGCTCAGAGAGACCGAACTCTTTTCCAGTCTTCCTGCGGAAGACAGGTTACTATCTCCATTTCTTTTTAGCCTAAAGTATTTTTGTTAATATTAATGACGGCTTATTACAACACAAACAAGTCATCTTTTTTCCATTCTATTTTTCGACCTCTTTTTGTAAAAAAAAACAAAACTACTAGCTCTTTAAGACTTCTCTATGTAAATGACCTCGGTTATGACTGACTGACAATAACTGGCGTCTCTAACAGTCTGAGTATAGAGAGGCAGCTGGGATCACTCATTCTGGCCACAGATATCAGCCGACAGAATGAGTACCTGTCCCGGTTCAGGACACATCTGGATGAGAACGACTTGTGTTTAGGAAACGCTTCTCATCGACATTTCGTTCTGCAGGTGGGAATTTGCAATTCAGTATTAATGTCACTAAAAACAAACATTATGCGGTTTATATATACTTTTTATATGCCAGCTTTGACTTTGAGATATAAAATAAAAAATTTGAGATGTTTGCTTTAAATAAAAAAAGGAAAATTATTATAAAAAATTCTAATGCTGACTTTAATGTACTTGAAGTTGTGATGTCCCGTTTTTAAATGGAAGGGACTGCATACCATATTTTTAAATAAAGACAGACACTTTTGGGCATAAATTCGCGTGTGTTCCAGATGGCCCTGAAGTGTGCGGATATCTGTAACCCATGTAGACCATGGGAGCTCAGCAAACAGTGGAGTGAGAAGGTCACGGAGGAATTCTTCCACCAAGGTACCCAGTTCTCATGATGACCATGCTCTTTACGTGTGCTGTTAGTTCACTGTGTTCAAAAGGTAATCATTGTGCTTTGTTGTCATCATCCTATTTAGGTGACATTGAAAAGAAGCATAAACTTGAAATCAGTCCACTGTGTGATAGTGAAGCCAACACCATAGCCAGTGTTCAAATCGGTAAGAAATGGAATATTCTCCCCTGAATACGGGAGAAAAGGAATAATAATAAAATATCATTATATATATATATATATATATATATATATATTTAAGGCAAGACACTACAGTTTTTTTCAGGCACTGGTCAGTTTTGAGAATTTGAGCTATTTTGCTTCCCTAAATTGTCTTGTTTCAGACTAGTGGAAAGAAAACTTAAAAAATACACATTTAAGTGTTTATTATATTTTATTTGTGTATGTAGATTTCAATACACATATTTAAAGGCCTTTTTCCTCAAAATGAGCCAGAAATATCTACTTCAGTAGCACTTACATAAACCTAACTGTAGTTTTATTCTTATCTATATTTTGACGAGTATTACAGAGGTGCTTGTTCATATGACATTTGCTTGATTTATAACATTTTATTCCTAAAAATATGTTGAATTGTTTTTTTTTTCTGGCTGTTGACAGTATTTTCTGATTTATAGAATGATAAAAAGAGATGCAAAATTTGTAATTCATTATTAAATTGAATAAAATAAATAAAATCCCTTCTGTGAAAGCTTTAAATCTAATATATCAACAAAATGAAACAATTTTGAACCTGGCTTTATCCAGTGTTTAGATTTCTGTTCTGGAAATGTGTGCATATGAGTGCATATTTATTAAGATAATAAAACATAATTAAACTTTTCAGAAAACTTGTAATACAAAACAATTATTTTAATGCACTGTGATTAATTGCTGCGATTTAAATGTAGTGTCTTGCCTTAAAAAGGAAAAGATATATATATATATATATATATATATATATATATATATTTGTGTGTGTGTAAAATAATATATAAATAGTATTTATAATTATACCTAGTAATAATAGTATTACAATGTAATAATATTACAATGTTTAAATATATAAATTTGTGTTTGTTTTGTATTTTATTATGTGTGTTTATAATATAGTAATTATGTAATAATCGCATTATAATTATCATTACGATAAATGATTTATTTATAAGGTCTGGCTGATCTAGTGATCTCTGCCTCTGATTCTTTTTCTCTGCCACCAGGTTTCATGACTTACGTGGTGGAGCCTCTGTTTGCCGAGTGGGCGCGCTTTTCGGACACACGGCTCTCTCAGACCATGCTCGGCCATTTGGGCCTGAACAAGGCCAGTTGGAGTGCCATGGAGCCAGAGGCGTCAGGGAGCTCCGAGGAAGGGGAGTCCGAACCGGGCCGTGCCACAGAAGAGCCCAGTTCCAGAGTCTTATCTCAGGGAAGCCAAGAGTCATGACACCCCATCGCTCGCAGAACACCTCTACTGCCCTCAGCCAAACATCTTACGTCACGCCACCCATCTCCAATCAACCACTGATGATTTGTTTTCTTCTTTTTCGTTCATTCGGTCGATTTAATTTATTTAATTTTAAATGCTCATTTACCCTTCAACATAGAGCAATACATAGATACCTCATTTGGCTACTGCTGCAATTTTGTTTTCTTTTAATTATTGTGATGTATTTATTTAACCTTATTTGTTTTTTTTCTTTTGGGCGTTACTAATTCAACTCTGATGCTTTGATTAAAGACTGCAAGGGAATGTGGGGTAGGAAGGAACCCCCTCCTATGGCTTTAAAGTGCCATTTTGAAACAATTAATTGCTCTGAAAGTCATTTGAAACACCTTGAGTATTTAAAGGAGAGGCTTTTACAACCGCACCAAGAGACGATGTGTGAAATCGAATGCGCGCGAGTGTGTGTGAGTGTGTGCCAGTGCTTCTGCAAATCAATCTTCCTCCTTGTGTACAAAAATACAAATGTGAAGAGCCCAGTCCTTTTGCTGCCTCTGAAGACTGTTTACACATGTTGTTTTCTAACTGAATCATGTTAGTTCTGTGATTATTGCCTTTTAAGGACAGATGTGAAGAACCACTTGTAAGTTGTTTTTCGAAGCCTACTGCTGATGATCAACGCAATCTGTCGGACTGCAACCACGTCTGTGTGACGCATCAGATGCCATACGAATGCCATTTGTGCTCCATTGCATCTCTCTCCCCTGTATTTCAGACAATGTGTCGAAAGAACGTCGCTCCATGAAAGGTGGCAGAGATGAACCCTTTCGACCGTGGAAGAAGGATCTTGTCACGGGACATGTAGCTGAACGGACTCCATGGATTTTGCTCAGGTTTTCACCGACCTGCTTATTTGGGAGAAACAAAGAAGTAAAAGGTGCCTTTTGTAGGTAGCCACCACCCCTCTTTCCCTCTCTCCTCTGTATTTTGTAAAGAAAAATAATAAGTCCTTCTCAGAATGTCTCGAAGCCATTCTCGTCTCTTTGGAAAACTGCTACAAAATGCCTTAAATCTATGCACAAAGCTAAGTGACCAAACCAGCTGTCGTTTTCATTTTTAAATCATCCCATTGTCCATTTAGTGCACTGTCTGATCCTTTGCCTTTTTGTCGTGGTATTTTTTTCTTTTAATATATGGAGAATTGGTTTAATGATTTGATTTTTAACATTGAACATTCTATTTTTGTGAATTGTTTTGGATTCTGTACAGAATGGACAGTTGTTTTTTGTGTTTCTCTTGATATTTTGAAAGAGAAGAGGTGCTTTATTTTAGGTGATTTGTATTTTTGTTTTAAGTGCTGTAAGACTGTTGATATAAGAAAAAAAAACTGTTTACAGTTTGTTGTAACAGCCATTTTGGGGAGACGACCTATGTGTCAAGTCATTTTGTAAAGGCTTTGCCGTATAACCTTTTGATACATACTTGTTGCATTTGCATTTTTGATGAATAAAACCTCACAAAATGTTTCTCTACCGGATAGCATGCAGTCACGCTGTTCTATATGAACTTAATCATGTGATGAGCGTGTCAAAATGTAGCCAAATAGAAGCCTCAATACAGAAATGAAGACACAGATTGACAGTTTTAGGTTTATTCAAGAAATGAAAGTCCATTAAAAATGGTTCTGTAGTGTGAAATAAAATCAACCCATTTAGAAAAATGATCACAATCTATAATAAAACCAAAAATATGTCTCAACTAAGAGATTCCCTTCAATTCTGAGGTACTCTTCCTATGTGCTGGCCATTAAATCCAGTATAAATCTTTGAAATGAGAAATCCTGTACTGTAATATAATTCAAATGCACTGACTTTTGGTGCGCAGCAGACACTTTTTAGTTATATGTGCAAAAATACAGACATTTTAAAGGTACAAACACTGTCAAACAATTCTGCTGATAGACTGAAGTCTAATTAAACGGCACTGGACTAAAGATAGCAAGCTTGATATGTCATAGACAAACAAAACTACATTATTCAAGTATTTATTAAACTGGTTAAATAACTACATTACTTCCAGAACCATATCATGTAAATGTTCCAAAATAATAAATTAGAAGCTTAAAAGGATTTTAAATGAGCTCTCATTAAAGAATTCTTCAACTACTGACAGCACCATCTAAATCTTATTTATGATCACAAAAGTGTGGTTCATAATTGCTATAGTGGTTACATGACAGAAAAACCTGAAGTAACTAAAACAAAAAGAAAAGTATGAACTGTACCTTTGAAGTAGACAACTTCTGCGCAAACAGGTGTTAAAAATACACATAAAACTACCGATAAAGAACAATCCATACACTTTGGTGTTTTCATTTAACATTATCCCTTCAAATGAGAGGAATCCAACAAGGTTGAATACTTGCACTGTTGACCTTCCAACAGATCCAAATAAATCCACTTATAAAATCATACCTAAAACCCAACAAAAAGAAGGCATTTCTCACATAACTGGCATTAATGATGGGACTGGCTGTTGTACAAAATGCATTGATAGAGTTGAACTTTTCAAAGTGCAAAATTACATAGATATCCAATAGGGAAACCAGATTGACTGCATAGTGTTTGGCATTTGCATGCTCACCTAAATGAACACTAACAACATTTTGAGGGCTAACAAGAAAAGTTAGCCGGTTTTTGAAAATTATGAGACATCAGGTTAACTACATTAACCTGCTCAGATGAGTTGCTCCATCCTAGTACAGTTTCCTCCTTCCAGTTGATTTTAACATATGCTGTCCAAACTGGAAAAGCAATGGCACAAAGTGACTATGGCACTATGACAATATACATAATTTTTTCAAGTGATTTCTCTTACCTCTGGTGTTTCTACATGGGTCTTATTCTCAGGATCTATCAAGTTAAAGTTGCCATCACATTCACTATCGCTCCGGTAGCGGTGAGCGAACTTGCGTTTCAGGGCCTCTGCGATTAATGCTGCAGCGTCTGTGGGCTCAACAGGTTTTGGTTTCGTGTCCTCTTGATGACTGGGAATGAAAGGACAAATGAACTCTATTGGTAAGTGTTTACAATCAGCTTTGTATGCCATCACTGTCCAGATAAAGCCCTGTAACATTCACCTCTTAACTGAGCGCAGCTTCACTTTGCCTATGTCTTTGAGTACGTCTAGCATGTTGGGAAGCTCTGTCTTTTTAGGTGCCGAGTCCAGTACGGTCTTTTCTTCAGTCTTTTTCCCACGCCGCTCTCGGATGAGATCAATGGCGGAATAGCTCCTCTGCATGCCGGGGCATAGAGGAGGAGGAGGAGGAGGTGGTGGAGGAGGAACTGGAGTCATTGGTGGAGCTTGGGGCACAGGGGGACCACCAGGTGCTGGAGCTGAAACAATGCAAAAATTGCGACTTTAAATGGGTAAAAAGTAGTAATACTAGCAGAGTGCTATTTTATTGTCTATATATCAAAAAAAAAGTAAAATACAATTTTGAGGCCAGAAACATAACTTATGCAAGTACGCCAACACTTTGCAAGCAATCATGTATCGTACAAGCTTAACGGTAACATCACTGTGGCATATATTTGGGGCATAAAGAACAACTATCCAGTGTTGTTGTTAAATATAACTAATCAACAATTAATCAATCAACGTTGTGAATAAATCTATTTTTTTATACATTTGCAAGTACTGGTACTGTGTGGGATTAATTCGTTTCTGCTGTTAAATAGAACTAAAAATATTAAAACTATTTTTTTGTTCATTGAAATAAAGCTGAGAAAACCGGAAAATATGAAAAACATCTAACAGGGTTTCTGCAGGTCTTGTGAAGGTAAATTTAAGGCCTTTTTAAGACCAACTAAAGACAATTTATGGAATAAATTGAAAGGGACACAAAGAAATCAATCACAATGAAGTGAGTATAATTAAAACAAGAACAAATATCTGCCTACAGGGTCAGAAACATTACCTTTTCAAAGGGAAAACAAGTTTATTTTTCTTACCCATTGACAGACATTTGTTATTGTTTCAAGCATAAACCCACTTAATTTTGTTACATTTCTCAGAAAACAAGAATTTATATCTTCATTTTGCATCTCAAGTAAATGTATCTTGATTCAAGGAAGTTAAGATTTTCTACTGGAAAACAAAAAAATACTGAGTAAGATATTCTTTTTTTGCAATGCATGCAACATTTAATGCCATGACTTTATAAATGTAAGACTTTCTTCTCTGATTTAAGACCGTTTCTAACTACAAATTAAAATGTAAACTACAAATATAAAAATAAAAGCTACTTCAAAATACTAATAAATACTGAAATAGTATATACTAATAATACTAAAGTAGCACTGCAACTAACCTGTGGATTGAGCGCTGTGCTCCTGTGCCTGAACGATCTGTGCGATTTGCGCTCCGAGTTTGGCCAGCTCAGTCTCCAGAGCACTGATTTTCTGAATGGCTTCATCGTTGATGATTGTCTGACTCTGTGGTGCAGGTTCAGCCTGGTGCACGCTGGGTAATGACCGCCGACGTCTCAGGGGTCTGCGCTGCTGGGTACGGAAAAACAACCCAGAATCTGTCTCAAACCTGCAGGACATACAGATACATACATGATAATTACGACATTCAAATTTCTGTTTTCTAAATCAATTTAGAAATATTTTCACCTGTTTCTGCCAGAGCCAGCGCTCTCTTCTCTGTCCATCCAGCCCACATCAGCGAGTGTGACCACAAGTCCATTTGGCCCATTTGAACTGTTGAGGAAACTCGCTCCTGCAGTGAATGGATGAAGCTACACGACCCAAAGACAGTTTAAAGAACAGTTAATAATTACAACACCTGCTCAGGGCACTTTACAAGTCTCACAACAACGACAAACAAACCCTCACAGACACTCAAGCACTCAAACAATGTCAGAACTAGCCTACAACAGCAGAACAAGTGCCAAATGTTTTTACAGCCACGGCAAAGTAAACAGCACCAGTGAAACCAGTTTAGACATCTCCTAGCGATTAATGAAGCAATTAGAACATTACAATGTCATTTAGCTCCTTTATCAAGAGGAAATCAATATTAATGCCAGTATTTTATTAAAAAAATAAGCACTTCAAAACTTTTTTAAAGAGCTCTTGGCCTAAATATTTCAGCAATGATCCAGAGAACTGACCTAGAGCAGACATGCTGCATTCCTGACATACAGGACAGCTGGAAGGAAGGGCAGAGAAGAGAGAAACAGAGACGGTAATAAAAGTTTCAAGGTCAGTTTAATGTCATCATACTTTTGTTTTAAAGGTTAGACGGTAGGAAAAGGCTAGATTAGATATTATGAGTTGAAACCTGTCCCAGATTCATGATTGTTTATTGTCAGCACACTGATGGAATCAAAACAGAACAGGACAGAAATATGATAATATGGGAGAGATGAAAAATGAAAGGCCAAAGATGGAGGGTGTTAAAGGTTTTGAGATGTAAAAATGTAATAAAGGTAGAAAACTGATAATAATGGAATGAAAATGAATGAAGACTACCTGAAAATACTAAAATAGAAAATATAATACTGCAGATATTTAAAAACATAACAGGCACTCCAAATACAAATGTGCACAAAATAGTTTGTAAAGGTTATTGTCTGTTGAAATAATTACAAACATTTTGAGATATTCTGTCATTTATATGTTTTGACATTTGAATGAACAAAAACTGACATATTAAGTTACCTGAAAATGGACACGAGGGCAGGGCGCTAAGGGAAGATTTGTGGCAATTCTTCTGACAATACTTCTGGATGACCCATAAGACTTTGACGATGATCCAAAAGCCTAAGAGAGACATAAAGATGAACATTCTTCCAATCATTAATAGCGCGAACTGTACATATAATTCTGTATATCTTACCAGGTCCATTTCTATCCGTCTATGATTTCCACTCATCTTGTAACTTCAATTTTTTTTCTTCATTTGCCAGAAAAGACTGAGGTACTAAACATTTTTCTAGTAGTTTCTTCGTAAAGCACATGAGTGTGTGTCGCTAATAGATACCGCAAACAGAGGACTAGCTTTACCACAAAGGTTAAAGGCGCTAAAAACCCAAGCGTTATTGTTGTTTTTTTGTGTGTGTGTGTTATATTAAAGGCGCTCTTAGTTGTTTACAAAAGTTGTCGCGATTTCTAATAGTAAACTAGTAAACTGCAGTGTTACAGACTAGTAGGGTCCTAGCTACGCTAATGCTATCCAGCTGTTACCTGTATTTTTCCCATAGACTGTACTGTAGGGAAAGAAGGGCGGGACTCAACAGTATTGGCCAATAGAGTTCAAGGGTGGTCGGTGGTCCTAGGAGTACGGAGTCAACCACTGGTTTGGAGTGGTGGATTGACAATACAACTGGCCAATCATAAGCGAGTTTTGACTCACAGGCACAAGGCATGCATTAGAATGCATCCATGGAATGGATTTGCTGTATTTCAGTAAGTGGTGCTTGGTTGACTGTGACCGGTTTAAAAAGAAGACAATTTTATGTATTTAATTTAAATAAATAATAAAAAAAGATTGGTTAAACATTGGTTATTTGGAAGTAATTTAAAATGTTTACTTAAATAAAATCGTATCAAACCTGTTTATATTTATTTATTTTTGCCTCACACTTCTATTGTTTTATGTATTGTACTGGCTGACTATAAAAAATGCACATTGAGAAAGTGTAATACACGTTTCCCCTGTTTGTCCAGATATCACTGTCATTACATATCAGAACTAGACAATTTTTATCTGCTAGTCTACATTTTAAAGGTGAAATACGATTGTTTTATACTTCTGTTCTGCCTTCGAAATTCCATTTGTTTTGTCGTGTATTTTAAAGCGATTATTTATTTTAGTATTGCCCCAATATACATAAAATATATGAATAGTATTTTTACTTGCTTCCTTGGTCCTGATGCTTTCTTTGTATTTAAAAAAAAAACAATAACAAAAGCCAAATAAACAAATACTTTAGTAAGTTTTGGGTCAGAGTTGAAACAATTCTATAATTTGCTTCATATTGTCTCTTAGTAAAACCCTTTCTAATTGGTCGAGAACGCATGGCGTCATAGTCCACATCCTCCAATTAGTCTGTCTAAAGCCAGGAAGTGTTGTAAAGGGTGCTAAAAACTCCGCAGATAATGGGCAAATATGCCTGACCAGAACAGCTGTCATAAAGATTTTTAACCATATTCACTGTCGTCATTACACAAGCTACATCCAATTGCGTATCCATCAGCACTTCATTTGTCGGCGGGTTTGATACTTTGACTGGACAGGATCATCTGAAGCGAGGAGTCGTCCTGGGCGTGTTTGCTGTAAGGTTATGCGTGGACAACAGTGCCACAACACACACAAGGTTAACAAGATAGATACCATGCACATCAGAATCAAATACACTGATAATACATTGATTATTATGTTTTGGATTCATATAGCTGTATATTTATATGCGTCCTGATAGAAATAGATTTCGCCTTTCTCTTTCTGCGTGCTGGTATTGTTTTTGTTCTTGTTCTTGTTCTTGTTCATAGAAAGACATTCATATCCACATGTATTGATGTCTGTAGACTAAATATGCGTTTACATGCAGTTTTATGACTCCTATGAGAATTCAGATTGCCATTGTCTTGTGATGCGGTGTTAATGTTAGCCGGTTAGCACAGGGCCCGTTTAAAGGCCACGTTATGCTATGTTGTGCTATGTGAATCAGACATGACCATCATGGGTCATTCAGTTCACTATGAATGAAAGCCAATAATAAGTCCTGTGTATAGAGATCATATGTAAATCAGACAATAAATCTCAGATTCGTGTTCTTTTTTGTTTAGATAATACAGTTACAAAAAATTGATAATGTATATTAAAAAAATAATTAAAATACCAGAGGTTGAGCAGACAGAAACTTTTTATCATTTATGTAATTCAGTTTATACCAGCTTTTATGTTGTTTTTTTATGATAAACCTGTGCTTTCTGTCATTGACAGCATGTTCCACAGTATCAGAAGTAATCCAGTTCTGATTTTTATTCCCCCTCAGCTAAGATCTGTGTATTTTATGTGCATGGCCCTTGGTGTGGGAGCACCATGAGTGGGGAGCCTGATGCCTTGGCTGTGGTGAATCAGCTGAGGGACTTAGCTGCTGACCCCCTCAACAGACGAGCTATTGTCGAAGATCAAGGCTGCTTGTCAGGCCTCATTCTCTTCTTCGACCACCCCAATCCACAAGTCGTCTACTCTGCGCTATTGGTAAGAGTCTGTTTGTGAAACATTTGCAGACGGTCTTTCTTTCTATGGTTTACTGCCATGTTAGCATAGTGGTAGTTAAGGGTTCAAATTAGAAGTCTTTATGAACTTAAAGATAGATGATGACGATATGAACCCAGTATGAACATTTATTATAATAATCATATGGCGATATTCTCAAACAAACAGTAATGTTTTGATAGCTAAAATGTTTCCATTTTTCTGGGAAATCTTATAAGTGGTATATTTATAGTTTACTGTAAACGATTTCAGCTTCAACTTCAATTCAGATATCTCAGTATAAAGCGTAATAGACAGCATTTACAACTTTAGAATTTCCCTGCTAGAATGTCAAGTTATTGAATTACACCTCCAAACATTTTTACGTTTTCCAAGTTATTATATTTGATATTAAAATTATTTCAAATATTATTTATAATGATATTATTGTTTCAAACAAATAGATTTGATATAAATAATAATAATAATAATTATTATTAATCTCATACTTTGATACAATTTCTTAGACATCAAGGGATGCATATCAACCAATCAGATCACGCAAAGCCCATCCAGACTTGTCACATGACTGCCGCCTGCTATACTTGTAACTAATAATAATAGTATATATTATTATAATTATTATTTAATTGTTGGTATTATTTATTATTTTATTATTATTATACTTTTATTTGTTTGATATCAAGGCATTTGTATCAACCAATCAGATCAGTCATTGCCCACCCAGCTGTCCTTAGACACATCACATGACTGCCACCTGCTGTCCGGTATTGTCACAATGCTTAGCCTAACTTCTACAGGAATGACTTAGTGTATAACCCAAAATATTTAATGTCATAATGCTTTTAAATCCTTAAACTCTAAGCCCAGGTTTAAATTAGATTTTGAACCCCAGAATTTCAATGTGCCCTCTGAGTTTTGGGCCCCACTTTGTTTTATCTCTTTCAGAAGGACATCACACCTGTGGAGACATTTGGACAATAATGGAATAACACATTTCTTTTACACACACACACACACACACACACACACAGTAACTCTGACCCAAGTAGTTCTTGGTGTTCTGTTAACGGATTTGTTATCACAGCGGTGCCTGGCGGTTTGCCTCTGTAATGGCCCTGTGTGACCCTTAATGGCTTTGTGTCCTTCCAGGCGGTGCGCTACCTGGCAGAATGCCGTGCCAACAGGGAGAAGATGAAGGACGAGCTGGGAATGATGCTGAGCCTGCAGAACGTCATGCAGAAGTAAGTCGCTCCCATCACGCTGCCACAAAGCATGAAGTCAACACGAGCTCGCTTTGCACTTTCCTGCAGAAAACCTCATCCTGCTGCTTTAGTTGAAGTGAATGTGTGTGGTGGGCAGATTTAAAGCGCATGAGAAAGGTCGTCCTGTCATAAGCAGATTTGTCTGTTTTGACACTAAACGGGAGTGATGATGCAAGCTTGCTGTTGAAGCGTAATGCGAACTGTCAGGCAACCTGATGTAGTGCACGATTGCATTTGTTAATGTCCAGCAGAGGTCAGTCTAAGACACCAGAGAGAATATCATACCGCTATAGACATTGAGGAGTTCATGTTCAGTGGCCATGTTCAGAATATTGGTCAATCAATATGGATTTTTCATATTTCTTATACATTTACCTGGCAAAAAGGAAAAATGAATCATAACTTAGGGCTCAGCAGTAAAGATGGTATGAGAGCCAGTGTGAGAGTTTAGTTTTTTGTTTGTTTGTTTGAAGAAGGTAATACTTTTATTCAGCAAAGATGCATTAAAATGTTTAAAAGCGACAGTAAAGACATTTTTAATGTTACTAAATATTTGTTTCAAAGAATGCTGTTCCTTTAAACTTTGTATTCATCAAAGATTCCACAAAATAAATAATTAAGCAACTGTTTTCAATGTTAATAATAATAATAATAATAATAATAGTATCTTCCATACCAAATCAGCATATTAGAATGACAAAATTAAAATTAAACTTTCCATCATGGGATTAAATATATTTAAAAAATCTTAATATGCAAAAATAATTTCTTTTTTTGAAGTATTACTATTTCTATTGCATTTTTGGTCAAATAAATGCAAGCTTGGTGGGCATAAGATACTTATTTTAAAAGATTACTGACCCTAAACCTTTGAATGATATTGTAAATCTCACAAAATAGGATATGAGCTGGCTAATGTAGATTTTGTTGAAACTGAGGATTAGCACCATTTTCTAGTAAAATTGTTTATATATTTATAGATGTCATATATCTACATTATTGCTGTTTCATTAAAAACTATCAAATTATTTAATAAATGTGATGTTTATATAATAATAATAATTTTAATAACAACAGTTTGTTACATAACAATATTAATAATAAAGTAGTATTATTTTATATAACAATAAACCAATAATAATAATATTTAACTTATGACACAAATTTTTTTTGTGATGGAGCAAATAGTGCCAAAGCAAATCTGATTTACTGCAGAAAAAAAAAACTTACTGTTGAGCCCTCTTTTTTGTGAATTAGAAAGCATGAAACTCGGGGTTTCTTTTACCTCATATGTCAAACAGCACTGTAGATGCCGACTGATTCTTTAAATATTCATACAACTGCATGTTTTTGACATCCCCATGGCTAAGTATTGAGGCGCAGGATCCATGTATGTGTGTATATTCTTTGCAGTTCAGGCTTATTTCGAGTGCGAAAGTCTGCAGGCTTTTAGACGGTGAGTGCCTTCTGTTTACATGGAACCTCACAGACAGAAGTGCCAATGGTTGGCAGAGAGCTGCGTATCCTTCTCTCAGGGCGACTCCCTGCGATTCAGCAGTCACTTCAGTTAGCACAGATGCCATCAAGGAGTGCCCTGCAGTTCCACAAGCTGCCCGTCACAATTTCCGGCACAATGATTTTGGGTAGAGGTCGTGTATCGCCCCAGTCTGTGAAATTTTATGGCTAGAGGAAGTGAAGGAATCCTTCATCACCCCTGATGACACTGCAGATCTCAGAAAAAAGCTACGTTAATGCTTGAATTAGGTTTTTTGATGAATGTTCAGTGTTTTCTCACATTGTGTCTTTAATACTAGCTATTGACTGTATAGGTTGATAATTGATATACAACTTCCTTTTGACGGAGGATGTAGATGCCGTCAGCATTCCCTCAGGTGTACATGGGAAGCTTGAGGTCTGGCAGCTCAGATATGCCAGCGAGCAGATGTCTGTTCCTGTAATTCTACATGAGTGATGGCAGCGTTGCATCTCCTCTATTAGCGCCTGTAGGGCATATCAAGATCCTGATGTCACGCCTGAGCTCAAATGCTGATGTCAATGATCTGCTGTCTTTTTAAACCCTATTAAACGAACAGGTCACTTGACTATAGTTAGTGACCAAATAAATGCTCAACGCCGGCTCGTCAAGTTTACTTATGAGACTTTGGAGGCGGGGACAGTGACTGATAAGAGCTGGAGAAAAGTCAGTCTGATGGAGCTTGAACCAACTAACCTTTAGTACATACAATTATTACATACACATATACAAATACATACACAGCTATTATTTTCAGAAATAATTTTTGTAATACATTAAACAGCTGTGACCCAGTGAAACCAAATATCTATGTATTGTAACACCGTAGACTACAGTTGACTGAGTGTTGAAAATGACCAATCAAAGGAAAGGAGACATTAGCCACTGTCCCCGCTTCCAAAGTCTCATAAGTAAACTTGATGAGCAAGTGAGTGTTGAGCATTTGCGAGCGCTAGTCACAGTACTGTGCTTTCGGAACCACATTTGTGCACGCGGAGCAGAAAATGCACTCTCATGAGTGTGTTTTTCCGTGCACAGATACAGGTGTGTGCGTTCGCGGAGCAGAAATGAGCTCTCGCGAGGATGGTTGGAAAATTTGGCATTTTTAAGACATGATACTGTATTTTATTTGCAATTTTTTTTTCTTAAATCTGGAATATAATATAAAAATGAAAAAACGAAATATTCTGAATATTAGACAGTTTCCTCGCTGGTTTATGCATGTCTTTAAAAAATTTTGCAGCTCAATAAAGCTATTAATGTATAAAATTACAGTAGTAGTAAGGAAATAGTTTTCCTTTAACTAATTTTTTCCCCCAGATTTTTATTCACATATTTTCCTGATACTGTATTTTATTTGCAATTTTTTTTTCTTAAATCTAGAATATAATATAAAAATGAAAAACGAAATATTCTGAATATTAGACAGTTTCCTCGCTGGTTTATGCATGTCTTTAAAATATTTTGCAGCTCAATAAAGCTATTAATGTATAAAATTACAGTAGTAGTAAGGAAATAGTTTTCCTTTAACTAATTTTTTCCCCCAGATTTTTATTCACATATTTTCCAGAGTTTATTTTATAATACCTAACAGTATGTATTTATTTATTTATACATTTATGAATGTACGCATGCATTTTTTATTTTATTTTATTTATGTGTCCTTATGTTATAAATGCTTTCTTGTCATTTCATTTGATGGCAGACATAATATAGTTTAGTGTGTTACTTTTACATTTAATTTCTTATTGCTTAATGGGCAACATCCCCAGAAAGTTTTATTTTATTTTGTATTTTGTTTATTAGTTTATTTTAATTATTCTTTCAAATACAGTATTATTAGTGTGCAGTAACAGTATTTTTTTTGCTTGTCTCACTATGATGCATCAATCTCTTCATTTTAAAACTGATTTTAGTTAGGTTCAATGTGCATTAGTTTACTTGTGATATTAAACCATATGGAATGCACGACACTAGATGAATCACAATATTGTCTGTGCTAAAGGTTAGTTGGTTCAAGCTCCATCAGACTGACTTTTCTCCAGCTCTCATGCCGGCAGATTTCCCCCCCCTGCACAGATCTATGTCGTGTCCCCTTGTCTGCTGGAGGGATGACCTTTTCAAATATCAGCACCGACAAGTACTGAAATGTACAATACATGATCTTTACATACATGAGCATATTTGCGCAGTTATTTCTTTGTTCATCAACAGTGGCCGTTTTCGTTTGTTTTTTCACTTGTTGTGATTCCTATAGTGATCTGTGATGTGTTTCACTAGGGGCACGTCGCCAGGCGAGACCAAGCTGCTAGCTTCTGAGATCTACGAGATCCTGCAGAACTCCAGCAGTGCAGAAGGCGAACAGGCAGAAGCAGCCACCTCTTGCAGAAAAAAAGCCCAATTTTTCCTGGGCTCAACGAACAAACGGGCCAAAACAGTGGTGCTTCAGATCGACGGGCTTGATGATTCGGTAACTGCAGTCAAACAGCTTGTAATGGAACCCGTTTAATCAGAGCGTATGGAGATATTTGGTATTGCACAATTTGGCACTTTGTCTCTATTTATGTCAGGCTCGGAGGAGTCTTTGTGAAGAAGCCCTGCTAAAGATCAAAGGTGTCATCAGCTTTACCTTCCAGATGGCTGTGAAGAGATGTGTGGTGAGGATCCGTTCAGACTTGAAGGCCGAGGTGAGTTTACAGTCTAGCACAATCCATATGACCATCTACAGACTGCGTAAGAATGCCAGTGAAGTGTATTAAAAAAATAAAATAAAATGTATACATTTAAAGTGCCAGGTTTGGACATCTGTGAACATTTTTGAGTAATGACATAAAGAATAATTAAATCCAGTTTGAAAGAAGTGATGCTTAAGAAATGAATCACACTTAATGGATCAGAGATGCTACTAGAGAATCTATTTCAGCATTCTCATACTGTTTCTTAATTTTTCAGGCGTTGGGAACTGCTATAGCTTCAACCAAAGTCATGAAGGCACAGCATGTAGTGAAGGGGGAAGATGGATTGGATGTGAGTAAATCAAATGAACAGATCTCTGGTCAGAATGCACACAATAAATAGACGGTTGAACAAAGCATGAAAATAGTCATCTACTCACCTTCACATCACTTTTTGAAACTAGACCACTTTTCGAATCTGGACCGCTTTCCTTTTTTTGCTTGGAAACGTCTTTTTTTTTTTTTTGCATTCCATGTAAAATCAATGAAATCATTCCAAGTCACTGTTTTCTTGCTATGTGAGGTATTCTTTTGAGTCAGGTGCTGCGTTTAATTTATTTGGTTGCCTCTACCTGAAGATGTTAGCCGATGCTGTCTGCATCTGTCCTCAGAGCTGAGGGTAATGCATTTCGACATGTTGAGGGTGAACCCTGCTACACTCGCCCCATCAGAAGCTTTACTCATTTTCCCCTCATCACATGATCACTCAGGATGTCCCTCTGCCCCAAAACCGTGTCAGAGGGCCCTGGAGACACACACATACACACTCTTGCATGCAGATGCAAATAGGCACAGTGTGGTAATTAAACAAAGATGTGTCCACTCTGGTTGAATTGGAAGGGCAATGATAGTGATGACCTCCGGTGGCCGTCATCCCGGAGGTCTTGGACACTGCTTTACTATGCACTTCCTCCTTCAACCAGCAGGTGGCACAATTGATTGAGTAATGGTCTTATTGATAGCACTGTTTTGCATTGAACAGACACAAATGAAAAGCTTTGTTGTAAGAAAAACAGCAATATAGTTAGTAGGGCTGGACTAATATAAGTAAAAATATTATGTCTTATAAATTTTGATGATACTTGATGTATTTGCTTTAAAATAGTTAAAAAAAAAATTGGTGTAGAAACAATTTTCCCTCTGAAATTGCTAGTAAATTTCACAATTACAAAGAAAGGCAAGTAACACATTGAAGTATATTTTACAGTCTACTATTAGCATCAATAAGGACAATAATATTAAAATGTTAATAGTTTTTTTTTTCATGTGCACCAACATTTTTGTTCCAAAAAAGATTATAATTCCTGAATGCCTCATGAGGGCTTCCTTAACCATTTTTGAGTGATGATGCAAAATAAGTAATTGGATTATTGTTATGAACCAGTTCACTGAAATTTGTTCACTGACAAAGTTTAAAGAATTGACTCATTTTAATGATGGTTAAAGACCCAAATTAATCACCTTTTTTCACCCTTTTTGAGACCGGAAGTTGGGGCAGAACGTATCTTTCTGTTTTTGTGTGTCTTATTCCACCTAAAAATCATTTTGAATATTAAGTATAAGTAAGTAATTTATATGTATCTGATATATCGCTTAGACTTAATAATTCTTTCATTTTGTATCATAAAGATGGTTAGTTTGTTGTTTTGGCTGCAAATTTATATATTTTTTTATTTTGTATAAATAATCATTTTGAATATTAAGTATTAAGTATTAAGTAATTTATATGTATCTGATATATCGCTTAGACTTAATAATTCTTTCATTTTGTATCATAAAGATGGTTAGTTTGTTGTTTTGGCTGCAAATTTATATATTTTTTTATTTTGTATAAATATTATATATAATATATAAATAATGGAATTCTGCTGGCAAGCTTAAAAATTATAACAAAATGGGTCATTGTTCCCATTGCTTTCTTTCCCTCCCATCCAGATTGTAATCCCATTCCAAGGGGACTCGGATGTGGTGGTCGAGCAGAACATAAATTTGCCGGATTATCTGCCTGAGGACGAGAGCCTGTCTCAGGAGCAGCACAAGGCTGTGACACGACTGGGCTCCGTGCAAGATGGCGTGAGCTGGCTGAGCACGGCCGCCAACTTCCTGTCCCGTTCATTTTACTGGTGACCCCACGACTCCCCGCATGCCCCGCCCCTTTACAACCCGCCCTCGACGTGCCAGACTGCCGAGCGCATCCGCAATAAACGTATAACCTTGTTCCAACTATATAAAAGGCTACAACAGGCGGCTGTAAATGGTACGCGATCCAACCTGCTCCTGAAACTCACGTTAGCGCTGCATACGCACCTCACGAGACACTAAAACCTGAGAGCAACCGGGAGAAGTTCACAGAAAGCATTTCATGTGTATCTGCTCTCTCTTATTCACCTTTTATGTTTGGTCATGGGAAGGTTTTCAAACGATGCGCCCCAGATTCTCCTTGCAGGTTTGCTTCTGTTGAGACTAAACAACGCCTTGGGGGTTTCGCCAGGCGGGTCGTACCTTGAGGTTTTCTAAATTTCTACAAATTTGGGTGCTTTCTGACGTGTTCTAACCCTTCATCTCAGCTTTCTTGTACATTTTAAAAAATTTTGTTTGTTTTTCAATTATTTGATAATCCTAATATTACTTTATTCATCAGCACTTTTCAAAGCATGCATATTTTTTTGAACTGTGTGTGTCTTTGCTATGTAGCTTGTTGATTAATTTTCTCGGTTTTAAATCCTCTTTTTTTGCTTCGTCTGAACTTCTAAAGCCTTCTGAAGATGTGATTTTTAGGTTTGAAATGTGTAGTGATGGTTCACTCTTCCTCACAGAGCTCATTTCACATAAAACATAATTAAAACACCTGCACTGGTTGGTGTGCATTAATAATAATTAACGGTTTAACGCCTCCAGTAAAGAGAAGCCACCAGAAAATAGCTGTTACTATGTGTGAAAAATTGCTAACCTTTTATGTTACAGCATGTGCCAAACACCAGATAACCTTCTTTACACTAGCAAAATATGTTGTAAAATAGCTCTGACCCTTTAGGAATTGATATTATAAACTTTTTTTTTTGTACCTTTCTTAAACGTCAATGCAGTTTTCCTTTATGCCATGCTGACTATTTATAAAATGTTTTTTTTTGTGTGGGAGTGTGTGTATTCCTAAATACCATAAATCTGAATGTTTTGTTCAGGGCCTTTCATACACACGGTCATTTGTAATGTGGGTTTTTGCTAGCCAAAAGTATGATCCGGTTTCTGACCGGTTATGTGCACGTCACCTCTGCATGACCATCAATCACCCCTTGAGATTTCCCTGACCGACGGTGTCGTTTAACAGTTTAGATAATCAACTGACCTCACATATTGCATTCAGGGCGTTCAGTCCGCTCAGGGATGTGTGTACGTTGTCCTGCAACTGATGGGTCTCATGTACATCGCAGTTTAACGCCGGTGCGTTCCCAAAAGGAGACCTACACACATCGATATCAAAATGAGTTAAACCAGTATATGTCCTTTCCTAAATGTACCTTTTGTTTTTTTTTTTTCACCTTATGCTGGAAAACTTGGGTTGTCGTAAGGTATCAGTGTTTGCACCCTTTTGCTTTTTTCCGCATAATCAGCAATACTTTAAGACTGTTTTTTAATTTGCATCATGTCGGTTCACGTTGAGGATGTGTTACATAGACCGCATTAGTGTATAGAATTGAATCTCACAGTGGCACGCTTTTGGTTGGGTTTAAGATGAGATAGAGGCCATCAGTGTTATATTTATGAACAAAATCCAAATTGAATTAAGTTTTGCATTTTCTGTATTTTTATTTACTTTCATCTTGTACTGTATACCATCTTTCCCTGAAGCATCTTAAGTTACTGCTCACTGTTATTCCAAGAACACAGAACCAGAGCCCATGGCAGATGGTAGATTTTAGTAGCTTCTCATGTACAGTGCATATTTGCTGTTACATACAAAGAGTTTTAGGACACACGATTCTTGGTTGTTCACAGTAATGACAAGGATTATTAAATAGATAAAATAAATTTGTAGTGTTGTGTTTTGTTTTCATTGGAAATTGTGTTTCATTAGCCTCTGTGGCAGCAATCTGTAATGGCAACATTTTTATTTTTTATGATTTGAGCTGAATGCTCATGGTCACCAACAAGAAGTGCCCACGACGCTGATGATTACATCAGTTTACATGTGAAAGCTTCTTACTATGATATATATGTGTACTACTATGGCTTTAAAGATTTCAAACATGTAAAACTCAACACCACCTGCTGTTGATTAACTAATAATTCTGGCTCATCCCTCAGTTTGTAAAAACAGATTTTATTTACAGTAATGGGGCAAGGCATTCCAGAAAAGTGGAGCTTTTATTTGTCACATAGTATTTATATATATATAAACAAAAATGACATGTTAGACTGATATATGTTGGCCAGGCTGATTAATCGGCTGATAAATGGCTACTATTTAGTCATTTCAAGATTCTAATATGTCCATTTGGCCAATTAACAGAGGTGTTTATCACTATACTTTGTCAGTTTCAAATTTTACTGACAGCTTTGTGAATTTTTATTTAATGTTGTGTAAAATAATATAATATAATTTTATTAATGTTATGCATGATTATGCATTAACTGTCAATTTAATTGTATTAATAATTTAAATGATTAATAAATTCAATTAATTATCAATATCAGTTACATTACCGTTCAAAAGTTTGGGGTATGTAAGATTTTAATGGTTTTGAAAAGTCTTTTTATGTTTACCCAGGCTGCATTTGTTTGATACAATAAAACTGTAATATTCTGAAATATTATTAAAATGTAAAAAAAAAACACTGTTCTCTATTTGAATATATTTGTATTCTACTGATGACAAAGCTGAATTTTCAGCATCATTACTCCAGTCTTCAGTGTCACATGATTCTTCAGAAATCATTCTAATATGCTGATTTGCTGCTCAAGAAACATTTCTCATTATTATAAATGTTGAAAACGGTTGTGATGCGGAATATTTTTGCAGTAACAGTGTGATTCTTACAATTCTTTGATGAACAAAGAAAAGAATACAAAAGAACAGAATTAGTTTTAAATAGAATTGTTTTGTAACCATGTAAAAGTGTTTGCTGTTTTGTTTTTTTTATGCATTCTTGCTAATATTATTTAAAAAGAAAATCGTACTGACTCCTAACTTTTGAACGATAGTGTGTAGTTGTATTTAATTGTTATGGCACAAACCCATATTGTCAGCCACTTCACAAATTATTATTTGTTATTTGAGCTGTAAAGCTGTCTAAATTCTCCCTTTTAGCAGTTCGACTACTTTTATTATGCATTAGCGATGCAACATTGCGCAACTCTCTTTTAAGTCTAGCTATACTTTTTTAAAACTGTACATAATGTGCATAAATATTTACAGTGCCTTGCCCTATAGATGTCCATTTGCATTGCTGTAAATGCAGTTTTTGCTTATTTAAAACAAGGGTCCAACCTCCAGGCCGGGGGGCACTACCAGCATCACCATGGCAGCTGAATGTGCTAAGGCCTGCAGCAGTAGAAGAAGAGAATGAGAGTCTGTTCTGTTCATGATGATGGGTGTAAACAGCCGGCCCTGCTTAGACAGCAGAGATGTGCATGGCCAACTATGATTCTATACCGCCAATGGCATTAGATCACCAAGCTTAAATTGGTAAATCAACACGTTCCCAGTCCAGATTCCTGAATTTGATGGGTAGTCCATGCTCCCTGTACAGGGAGATATCAGGACAGTCATTCTGCTGTGCTCCTCTTGTGAAGGCCATGCAGAGAAAGCAGCAGGAAACCTCATCAATCATCACAGCGCACCTTATCCAACATACACACCTTCAGTCAATTTCACTGGTTAAGGTTAGGGTCAGGTGTGGGATAGGTTTAGGGGTTAGCATTTTTTGTAGCATTATGTAGGAAATCAACACTTTAATTGACACAACCAATAAAATCTTCAGAATCAGCTGTGGGGCGGAGTTTGCACTGAAGTGGATTGGGGGGAAAAATTGCCATGCTTGTCATGTGCCAGTCTGTCAATGGGAGGAAGCCACGCCCTATTTTGGAGCTCCCACCCCGTCTTGGAGTTCCCGCCCCCATTTGGAGCTCTCCGGGCTGCAGTTATACCCTTCTCGCCTAGGGAGACCTCGGCAAGCCTCTGGTGAAATGACACTTTTATTATAGTAACTGTGTCAGTCCTTACACTAGGGGGCGCTGGTTGGCTGTGCTTTACATGCATTTTCATGCAGTGAGGCACTGCTTTCTAAATAAATGATCACATTTAAGGACAAAGTGCACGTTTTGCCTTGTCATGTGCTTAAGTGTTTGATGACAGCTTTGTGAGGGCCGTGTGCAAGTGTTTATTGAGACTCAATGAGACAAAGACTGATTTAAGACCCATTCTGCCAACTGCTTTACTTGTCGATTTCTTCGCTTATGAACAGCAGTGAGAAGTCAAAAAAAGGAGAGAATTTGCTAAGAAGTGTGTTTTCAGGTCATTTAAATTTTTACTTCATGAGGTAACATCTAATTTGTTCTAGTCAGAAATGTTATTTAATCTGACTAAATCAACCTGACAAATCAGGTTACACCAGTATAAGTGTACATAAATGAAAACTTCTCTTTATATAAGCTAGATGTGTGTTTTTATGTTTTTATCATTTATAAACATTTCACACCTGGTCCTGTGACACATTTTATTCCTTTAATATCTACACACAGCACAAAGACAATAAAGCTCTCTTGACTAGACTTGACTTGAAAATAATAATTATTAAATTATAAAACTTTTAAAAAGGTAAATCTACTGTAATTTCCACAATATGAATTTAACATATTCACATTAATGTCTAACTTTATAACTTATGCCAAATGATACAATATTTCATGCCTTATATGCTTTATTTTATGTCAGTTAGGCCTAAACGGTCAGGAGAATATAGGTAAACAGAAGCACTTTCTTGTTTTTTCTTGTCTTTTTTTTGTTTTGTTTTTTTAAACAATATATTCATAAAGTCACTCTGTTCATAAACATTTTACTGATATGGAAGTAGAAAACAATCTATAAAACTCCTTTTATAGTTGTTTAAGCCTTATGTAATACATACAGTGTATATATGCATATTCATTATGCTCATAAACCTGATGTATTTCATTGTTTTACATTTGACTGAAAAGCAAACTGTCATAAAGACCTTCAAACTCACCTTGGAGACAAATACATTGTTGCTGTGAATTCCACTAAAACATGTTTTAATTTATTGAGTATTACAGATGCATCTCTTCCCTCCTCTCACTAGGCAGTTCATTTGATATGAAGAGGGAAGCAGATAAAGCCAGTGCCTCCAAACCTCCCTGGCGCTCAAAGATATCGACCACAGCTCCGTATTTGTGTATAAATGTGTCGTTACTATCATGATCAGTATTTGCATTGTTAATCTGCTGCAGCCAGTGGGCTGATTGTGTGCTGATGGGAGAGAAAGATTGCCCAGGCAGTTTTGACGATTTTATTTGAGGTTCAGCTCCCAGTCAATGGGTGTAAATTACATTCTATGTGCAGGAAAATGATGTGACACCCGTAATTTATGTCAAATAACTTTTTGAGGATGTGAAAGTGTGTGTGTGCAATCAGCGCTTGTGCTGATACTGGAGATTTAATTGAAACATTTTTATTTTCCTCAAAGGCTGATGGAATGGCGTCTTGTTGTGTAATGTTCTGTAATGTTTCATTTTAAATCTAGGGTCATCATCTGAGCCAGTGCCTCCAAACCTCCCTGGCGCCCAAAGATATCGACCACAGCTCCGTATTTGTGTATAAATGTGTCATTACTATCATGATCAGTATTTGCATTGTTAATCTGCTGCAGCCAGTGGGCTGATTGTGTGCTGATGGAAGAGAAAGATTGCCCAGGCAGTTTTGACGATTTTATTTGAGGTTCAGCTCCCAGTCAATGGGTGTAAATTACATTCTATTTGGGTGCAGGAAAATGATGTGACACCCGTAATTTATGTCAAATAACTTTTTGAGGATGTGAAAGTGTGTGTGTGCAATCAGCGCTTGTGCTGATACTGGAGATTTAATTGAAACATTTTTATTTTCCTCAAAGGCTGATGGAATGGCGTCTTGTTGTGTAATGTTCTGTAATGTTTCATTTTAAATCTAGGGTCATCATCTGGCTCAGAGAAGGTCATAGATTCCCAGATCCGGGAAGGGAACCAGCTTTTCCACATACATATATCTCCAGAAATCAAGATACAGAGAGGTTAGTTCCACCAGATGGACTAAAACATGGTGCGCAGGTCTAAATTTGGGTCTTGTGGTTCCTCCAATTATTGATTACTATTTTCCAAGTGTTTATAGGGAAGTCTGTTTCTTATTTACTTAAACTAATATTCCATATTTGAGTATGTATATATATTCATAAAGTTGGGTTAGTAAGCTTAAAACAATATTCTGATTTAAATAAAAAGCAATCTATGGCATAATGTTGATTCATTTCAAATCACCTCTCAGTTTGTAAAAACCTCTGAAAACATGTTTACATAATTGTACTTACAATCAGAAGTCTACAGGGCAAGACATTTTAGAGAGTTTAAAAACATAAAA